GTATGTATGTATGTATGTATAGAGAATACACATCTTTACACATATATCTTTATTCATTTACCTATTCATTGTAAGGTTTTCAACACAAGCAAGCCCAGCACAGGACACGGTTCCTGTCTGGAATGCCAGACTCCTGGTGGGAGCAGTTCGTCGGGTGCACCATCATATGAAGTAGGGCTGGTCTTGCGAGTATCACATAGTCACTCCCTGTATGCTCTGTACCTCAGAAGAGTTTGTTAAATCACGAGGCCTCTCCAATAGTTTAACCCGTGAAATGGTACAATACGCCACTCAAGTCTAGATCATGCAGTTCTTCCTGAAGTATCGCGACCCCCCGAACTCCCATCCAGGCATACTGCATCGAAGCAAGATTCAGACTACGAAAATTGTCTTTCAGGACGCGACCACATGAATCTTCTCGTTTGAGAAGAGCAGTCATGCCATCCTACGACTAAATATTTGCAAGGCAATGCCATTGTGCACGGGTGGCTTCCGACGGCCACTAGGCTTCCCATGACAGGCTTTGGGGCTTTAGGTTTCGGGGACTAGAGAATGGCTTCGAAGCTCCTGTAACCCAGCCAATGGCAAGCAAGAGCATGGAAACTGCGGTCAGGATTCGGCGATTCTATCGTCTATTGTCAAGGACCCTGGCAAGTTGACTCCGACACCTCACCCTCAAACCCTATCAACCCTTCTACTCCAAGAACTCCAGGAATAGTGGTACACATGCAAGGAATAAAGCGAGCTGTGTCCTCAGCATCAGTCGCGAGTGCCATTCACGAGCACAGTTTCTCAAATCCTACGCGCCTAGACTCTTAGATCTGGACCGGATAGCTCTCAACGACGTCCACGTGCACAGTGGAAGATCTTTTTCGGCTTGGTCCACGTTCCGGAGGAGGCTCACCCAGACCTCATAAGGAGAAAACCACTTTTTGAGGAGGCGCTGAAGTGCACATGCCCTCATGCCCCCCTAAACCCTTAATCCTTACAAATTAAGGCTGCAAGCTGCCTAAGCCCCATCCACTTCATCAGAGGATTTCCTGAGCGTCTGATCTTCCGATTTATGGAGCGCCTGCTCCAATTTGCAAGTACCATGCCAAGGGATGAGGGTAAGGTCCAGTAGTGTGGATCAATGCCTCGGAAACTTCCACAAATCATAGAGCTAGCCCCATAGGGCCTGAACCGCGAGACCTTGAATACTCCAGGTCATTCCATCTTTTAAATTAGACCTGTCTCGTCACTGATTTAGGCTTGCTACTCCGAGCTTTGAGGTATGCCGGGACTGCAGGCAGCACACGGTCCAGCCCTCTTTAGGGTGCAACAAGTCCGCCCCATGCGGACCATTGACTAGACAGCAAATGAGTATCTGCACAAGCAAATCTTGCTGTTTCCACTAGAATCACGAAGCAGTGGGAGTACCTATACATGTAAAACCGATCGCGCCTCTGGGTTGTATGCAGTTGCTTTCGTTGATGGCAGTGCTGTTTGCTTGAGGTGCACATAACATGAGTATCAAGACTTCAGCCCACATGATTCTTCTTTAGACCATCAGGAGTGCTGCTACTTCGTGAACTGCTAATCTAATGACCAGCCCTTATCGTCTGTTCTCATGCCTTGAAAGCAGCACGTCTCCAAATCCTGCTCTGGATTCTGGCTGAATCTAAGCACATATTCAGAAGATCTCGAGGAGGGCTATTACAACCTTTATGTTTACATCAGTTGCAAGAGGTGGGGTATTCCAATCTTTACGTTTACATCGGTTGCAGGTGAAGAGCGTTACTAATTGTTGTGGCTGCTACAGTATCCTGACGGCGATGGCTGCCACAGAAAAGCTCCAAGCCAGCCAACATACCCGTCTTACCTGCTCATATTCCCTAAGCCGTATATCCTTCTGGGATCATACCGGGTCTTTTATGCGACACCAAAACACCTAAAGATCATCCGGAATAAGGGCTTAGGGACCCTAGATATCTTAACCCAGGTTATGCCGAGGTGCTTCTTGCTCGCTGGTTCGGCGGGGGTGCTGGACACTCGTCGGCTTCGACCACCGCCTCGGGCTGATGTCCTAAACAAACCATAGAGGACCTTGAGCTTGATAATCGAGGGTATCAAGACCAGTAGCATGGTATTCGCGGACTATCACTACCTCTTAGTAGTTCCCTTCGTTTGGAGACTCAGCCATTTGCATGTGTAGAGTTCAGGCTCAGACTCAGTCCCCTTGCGGACTGGAACCCGCAGCCCGAACTGTCCGTCTCAAGACTTCCATCGATTCTCTCGCACATAAAAACCGCCACCAGAGCACCCCGAGCCGTGATCTGCTTTTAAGGGGCTCTGGCCCGCCTGGTGTATTCAAGAGTTTATGTTATTCGCTGACTCCGAGGGAGCAGCACAGCAGTAGCACCAAGTACGCGGCGCGTGCAATGGCCGTTGAGCCACATGCCAGTATGTCAACTGTAAATGATAAAACAGCAACAGTCTACATTGCTCAACCCTTCCCCGAGGCTGTACATACGAACCCACCCTAAACCCTAAACCCTAAGTTGGTACCCCAATAAACTTCAAAGTAACCCGTTGAAGGCCGTAGTGATCTGCCACCGGGTTCAAATACGTGACCATCTTCACTTCATGCATCTTTAGGCTTATCCTGTTGTTGGCATGAGTTGGCAGGCTTTCTATAATGCATCCCAAAATCGATCCGAATACTTTGTTTTCGCTTTCTGCTAGTGGTCAATCTATATAACTCAGTAGAGGATAACAGTATGAGAATAAGTATAAGGTAAGGCTTGATTTGTCAGGGAGTACAACCTCTTCTAACGATTTTAATGGGTTTTGAAAGGACTTGCAGCAGGTCCCTGGCTCGGATTACTAGCTAACCCTAAACCCTAAACCCCTCAACCCTAAACCCCTACAATTTGGTCACTTTGGGACCAAGGACCGGAACTCTAATTAAGCTTCTGGAAGCTTCCTGATAGGTTTAGGAAGGTTAGGGGGTTCACAGGCTCGGGCGTATTTATCCAAGCTTTGGAGTTTGCGACTGAGCAAGAACCTCGAGGCGCTCGCTGAAACCCGTCTAGACCCCAATCGAACCCTTACCCCCCCCCCCC